CCTGTCTCAATTTACATCACAAAATAGGAAGACGATAAAATAACACATAAAAGCAAAATCTTAGACTCTCAACCCCATCTCACAGAGGAAAAAATCCTTTATGTGCCAAACACACACAAATCGTAAGGTGTCCATATAACTGGACCACTCTGACACTCTGTGACTGTGTGTATCTTGGGACGAATTCTGGGGCTTTACTGAACATCCCTTACGTGTGTCCACTCCTTACCCATATAAATAACCATCTTGTCTTTCTTGCTGACATACGCATGTTTGGAAGATGACTGGATCAGGACCAAAGCACCTGCATTCAGTACCTCCCTTACACTCCTCCTCCTCACCTACCAAAGTACTGAAAATCCAGACAAAATGAAATAGTGCTGGCGTTACCACACAACTCTACAGCCATCAGCTGAGGTCAGGGCTCTAAAGAAACAGGTACGTAAATGACAGTCCCTATCCTACAGGAGTTTGAGACAGCAAAGTCCTTATGGGGGTGCAGCTGCATCTGGGGAGAAGTTCAGAACATCAGTTAACAGCAGATGACTCCCCTTTTGATTGATGGAAAGCCTTCAAAGCATAACAATGTACTTACACTTCCATTTCCAAATCATAGTCACGAGCTTCTCCTTGCTTTGGGGAAGTTCACTTGCTTTTGGGGAAGCTAAGAGAAAGCACAAAGCTTTCTTGCTAGCTTTAAAAGTGAAGAGATCAAAGTTCATTTGACCAGACACACACACAAGCACAAATACTGTCTTCCTTTCCCCAAAAAATATTCAGCTCCCCAAGAAACAGAATCACACTAAGGTGAAAACATATCCGTTTTTATTTTTTAAAGAAAAATATTCCTCTTTAAACACAAAGCATGAACTATAAACCTCTGAGAACAGCTTCTCCTCCCTTGGAGCGCACACGCACGCATTTAACTAAACTGTACAGTGTTAGAGCTCCCCAAACAAGTATACACACATGACACAGTATTTCTTTCACAGGAAATAAGGTTTAGGACTCAAAATTGTCCTCCTCACCCTCTCTAGATACCCACTCCATCCAAAAGTACTCTGTCCCTTACTCCCACCACAGGACACAGTGATGATAATTTCTGGATGCAACGTATACTGAAAATAAAAAAAAAGTTTTGGCCAAATTGGCCCTTTCTATCCTTCTAACAAATGTCCATGTGAGAGGTTAAGACCATAGTTATTTCCAGGAATGGTGCTTGGAAGAAAAAATATAGCAGCATCCAGAGGCAACACAAGCCCTAGATTCCAGCTGCCCTGTTTTAAGGAACCCAGTCAGTTCAGTAGTGTTTTACAGATATTCCCATCACCCAAGAAGAGGGAGTGGGAATAAAACATTCACAGGCCAAATTTGTTGAACAGACAGCCTAAAATTCAGTGAATCTGGCCTACATATGCCAGCAATGAGTTTTTTCCCCACACTGCCACAGTGACCAATTTCATGTCTAAGATTTTATGCAAAGAGATATGATGACCTTCGGAAATCAGCAACTCCTTCCACCAATTCTCTCTATCCCATCAAATAGATATGTGCGTAACATTTGTCACATCTGCCAAACCACCCAGACTGCGGAACTGGAACCAGACTCTAGAATCCAAATTCTTCCTAATTCAGAACAGCAAAACCATCAAAAGTCTCTGCAAGGTCTCAGAACATGGCTAACAAGCCCATATCCAAAGAAAAAGTACCTGGGTGTTTTCAAGGGAAGGCAGGTAATGGAAAAGGTCTGGAAACAGAGCTCATTTATATTCCACCTGATCATTAATTGTTGGTATTATTAAGTGATGCTCAGATCTCTATCAGACCATTTTGTAAAGATCTTTTCTATTCCATCCTCTCCAACATTTTTTCAGTAGGAAAAATATTAGAAAAATAAAATCTCACCCTGAACAACACTGTATGAAGATTAACATCATCAGTCACAAAGGGTTTTTTTACAGGGGACTCGATAATCTTTTGTTTCCTCCAAACCAGCTTCATATAGGAAACAGCAGCAAGATAGACACAGTATCTAAGAGCTAGATTAAGGCCAACAATATAAAGACAAACATGGGCTCAGACCTTTTGAAATGAAGAAACCCTCCAAATATTTTTATACATATGCATGCACTCGCACACACACACGTGTCCTCATGTGTACTACTCAAGCGAAGGCTTCACACCCGTGAAAGCACCACTGGAGAGTGTTCTAGCACCAGAATGGAAGAGTTGGTTGTTTCCCTCTTCAGCAATAAAATCCAAAGTCTTTATATTGCTTTGGACAAGGTCTCCAAATACCCTTCCAAGAACAGTTTCGGTGAGCAGATTCGGAAGTGCAGTGACAGGTTCAAGTGTTCCTGTTCTGGAACACGGGGAAGAAGAGGTGGGTTGAGAAGCTGCAGCTCCTTGGTTGCTGGAAAGGAGGAGAAAATTTGTATTGCAATCTGGTAGAGGCAGAGACCAACTGGGACTCCGGGTGAGTGCGATGGTAAAACTCAGTGCAGACTGGGAGGTGAAAGTGGGAAGTTTGCATACATGAAGTCACAGTGCACATCTGTTGGCATAATAAAGACAAGGAAACCCACAGTATTCTCTGGCAGGCTGGTCTCTGCATAGGAGGCCCCTAGGTATGCTGGGAGTCAGGACAAGGATCCGTGAATGGGATGTCACATACTGCACCAGGACATCATCAAACTCAAACAGCAGAGGTCTAAATAGAAGCTTGTAAGTTGGCCTGCTAGCATCTTGCCTATACACATGCTCACGTGAGTCTGCACAAGTCTATAAAACGGACAAAAATCTCTTAACAGCAAGGTTACGGGTCAGGTTCAGCTACAAGCAGCAATTCATGCAAGCCACAAAAGAATTAATCATCAACCTGCAGCACACCTTTCTGCTGCAGGTCTCTATCTTGGCCTTTGCATAGGAAGTGCTGGCTGTGCAGCCCTTCACCAACACTCTAAGGAGGCTGAGAGAAAGATGTAGAGGCAGGGATGACATCTCCACAGCCTCTCAGATCAGCAAGCACGGGCAGAGGTCTGTCCTCTGCCTGCAAGATGCAGAGTAGGCAACGAGCAGGTCTCACTAACAAGGGAGGATGAGAAGCAGGGCTGGAAGTGGGCTGCTAAAACAATGCAGGAAGAAATGGAAGAGACAAAGAGAGACTTAATTTTCAGTGCTTGAATCACTGGCAGTAAAGCCCCATTTAATCTGTCATGCAGCATGCTGATCTGGCCATCACTCACGTGATGGACTAAGTGAGGCTGTGCTAGAACACGCAAGAAAAAAAAAACATGCAAGAAAAAAAAAGGAAGTGAAAGGAAGGGTGATCATCACACCAAGTTGTGAATTTCAGGTTCAGAGCAGAGAATTATCAGCAGAGATATGCTCTGCTTCTGTGCACGTGCAAGAACATAACAGAGGGAACAGCAGCAGAACTGAAAGGGAGGAAAAGACACAGTAAGCGTTAACACTGTAATTCAAGATGCAAACACAGGACAATGGGGTGAGGGAGAGGAAAGAGAGAAGATTGAGGTAAAGGAGCCCAAAGGAAGAGACAATATAAAATACTCTTAATAGAGTCAGTCCTGCCTCAGGAAATACATAGCTAATGTCAGTTGGCTTCTCAATTAATTGACACATTGGTAAACTCTCTGCATTTGGGATTTAAGAATCAAAACATAAAGATTTTTTTTTTTCCTAAGATGTACTAAATGATTTTTAGCATTCAGCACAATGCTCTAAATGGCCCCTGAATTCTAAGGGATGCTGAAGACTCACCCAACAGCAGACGTGCCCAAATTATAAACTGCTTTTGAAAATCTAGGGCTACTTCCTTTGGGTTAGAAAAGAAGAACCTACCCAGAGGGCTGAATTGTCCAGAAGCAGGTTTGGCATTTCTCACTGAGAGCACCTTGGCATTTAACTAAGTAAGAAATATCTTAAATGGTTACTTAGCAAATCCCAATATGAGATTGAGGCATCAGGTTTCTGGATAAATGTATCCAACCAGACAGCTCCTCACGTATCCTCTAATAGAACAGATTTGTGCGATTTGCAGCAAGAACAAGCTATGCCACTTGCTGCTTCAGTGAAAACGCCAGCAGAGTTGTGAGCTGAAGCCTTTTGACTATGATGCAAATCACATAGGGATCCTTTCTTATTATAGAATTAATTGCAACAGAACTAATGCCTCCTTGGTAAAGCTGGGTAAAGCAAAGCACAGGCTTCCTCTTCCAACTGCAAACCACAAAAAGATGTTTGTCTGGGGTTTGTGCATACCTACAGCAACAGTGCTGGCTGGAGGTATGTACAGGCAGAAGCTTCTGCGGACCAGCATGACCAGAATGGCAAATGGTGAAAGGAGACTCAAGCCACAGCCCAGCTGGAAGCACGTGGACATACAAGATGCAAGAATATGACAGAGCAGCCAAGTCACCCATGTGCTTAGGCAAGCTTAAGGCAACTAAAAAAAACTCACTGATAATTTAGAGGAGAGTGCCAAAGGGAAGAGAGGAACCACTGGGCAAAGAGGCTGGAAATGCTGTTACAGTAGCCGAGCCCAGCACCAGCTACTAAGCCACCCCTCTTCTCCAGATCATTTGTTCTAATTCTCCTCATTTTACCAGCACCATCAGCATGAGGTTAATATGTCAGAAAGAAGAGCTGGGGATAGGTTCCTAGCTTACACATTTTCAGGTTTGTGTCTCAGGTCAGCTCCTTTCAAACAAAGCACACGGGCCGTTTGACTGGCCTCTTGCTTTGAGCTGGAGCTTTCTGGGAATTCTGCCTGCCACCTCCAGGGACAATCCTGGTATGTTCTACCTGGAATTGATGGCAGCAGCTACCTGGGTTCCTTGTCATGACAGTTGAGCATACGGTAGTTTTTTAAAAAACAGCATGCACCCGTGGCATGGCCATTAGACATAAAGCTGTGGTTGAATTCTTCTTGTCTCCTCAGAAGCAGGTGGAACCAGAAAGAATGGGAGTGTTGGCACAAATCAGCGCAGGCTTCGGTAGACATAGGCTGATGTGAAGATGGCATTGAGAGTCAGACTCACGGCTAGTAGACCTCGGAGAGCGGAGTTACCAAAATGACCTTAGTAGAAGAGGACAACACAAAGAAAAAAAGGGAATAGTAGAAAGAGATATTAAAGAATTGATGAGATAAATAACAGTGAACATATGTTGTGCTCTGTGCTCTTTCTCTCTCTCTTTGCCCAGTATTTCCACCATAAGCAGAAACTGCTGAAGCACTTTTCCTGTCAGGAAAGATGCCACTGCTCTCTTTGGTTCTATTTTCATCTCATCACTCTTCTCAACACCTGCACCCCCACCCCTTTCCATCTGTCTCAGTTTAGCACTGTCAGTATTCTTCAGACAGTGCAAAGAGCAGGAATAGCCTTATTAAGGCCTTAGAATAGCAGGCAGAAGATCCATTTCGCTACTACTTATTTATCCGATCACCACTACAGCACAGGACAGATCTCAGTTACCCTCTTAGAAATGCTCACACATACACGAAGCACTCACATGACTTGCACCTACCTCTCCAGCCTGCCAAATCTTCCCCTTTGGTAGTTGTGTCTACCACACAGGTAGATGAGTGTGATGAGCGATCCTCCTTTTTGATAGAATTATCACTGCAAATACTCCCTCCTTCCACAGCAGATCTCATATCTGCAAGGAGAGAGAGAGATGAGAATTCAGAAGGCATTACTGGAAGCCAAAGGCAGAAGTTACCTAAAGCTAGACATGAGTATGGAATGGCTGCCTGGTAAAATAATTAAAGGATGGAGGACAGGAGCTGGAAGCAAAAAGCAAACTTCACCGCTGTGCAGAAGTTGCCTGCACGTTTGTCTCGTATACTGTTCGTATTGGCATCACCACAGCCATGATTAAAGGAGTTATCCAAACAAGGGTGACAGCAGTGGCAGTAGTATCCCTGGGGCACCACTAAGTGAGAAAAGGCCAAGAGGCTCTCCAGGCCAGTGGATTCTTAAAGGAGCTTTGGTAGCCCATCAGTCATCACCACTTAGGCTCTTCCTGAAGGCTCCCCACCTATTGTGTGTCTGAGATGATGTGCAGCTTTGCCTGCAAACCAACTCCTTCCTACAAATGCATTTCCAGGAGTGCAGCAGGCTGCGGGCATACCATGCATTCCCCGCTCGCTGAGGTGGTTCTTTGGAAAGGAGGACAACTCGGTGGCAAAGATGTTGCTGTCTGAGTGGGTGTGCTCCTCTGAGCTAGTTGGGGTGAGCAGAGCCTCATTCTGAGATGGGAAAAGCAGCAGCTTCTGTCCTTTCAGGTTCAGGCGGGCAGGGCTGATGAGTGGCCGGCGGTACCGCAAGGAACCCGAGCTGGAAGTCACAGAGCCAGCCACCGACGGTGCTGGAGAGGGGATGCGGGAGGGAGCGCAGCTGCCTGACAGCAGGGAGAAGTGCTCTGAAATGGAAACATCCCCAAAGAGAAAATGATGAGATTATAATCTCAATACAATAGGCACAGGTTTTTTTAACAATTCTACAAGAAAAGGGAACAGGAGTTGCAGATGTCCAACATATCTTGTACTAAAATTCTTTATTCATTCCGGTTCCCACACTGAAAAACATGGAGAAATTCCACACGCACTTTGGTAGCTCAAGAATGACTTAAACTGGAGACAGGTTTATCAAGAGTCGAGTGAGTTTTCTCTCTGCTCAGTCATGAGCACTCAGGAAAGCCTGCATTGCAGGTAAATTACCCCTTCTGGCATGCCCTTTAAAGGCTGTTGGGAACGCTATCAGGATGCAAGGAGGTGTGCACCATGGCAGTAGTCCAGGCTGTGACTGCATTTCCAGCAGCAAGCACTTCAGCAGCACTAACAGCCAAAGGATCCATTTGGGGTCAGGAGGGCAACAGACAGGTCACTGGAGGACAGGGGAGCAAAAGGGCAGAGCAGACGGGGTAGCCAAATTAGCAGTTCCTTCGGCTGGGGAAGAAAATTGAAATGAAAGAGCTGCCCTAGGAACAGTTTAAAGTCTCCTGTGAAAGCAATCTCAACTCAGCTGTAGAGCAGGAAAGGGATCCTTGCTTTGTCTCACTGATTTATTTTGCCGTGGGCTCTCCCAGGGAGAAGGACCTCCAACACATACAGCACCTTATTTTAACGCAATCCTACTCTTAGTGTGAACGCTCTCTGCAGCATTTCTAACAGCAAAACTGACATTTTCACTGGGGTGTGAGCAGGGAGGAAAGAATTAAACTTGGATCATGTGTTTCGACCTGCTCACTGCAAATCCTGCAAAGACAGTTGCTCTGAAAGGCCTAGTGCATTACCTGATGTAGGAGATTCCTTGGACTGAGATGACTGGGAGGCTGGTCGACTTCCACTGAACAAGTAGCCAGAATCTAAAAAGCAAAAATGAAATAGTTTGAATCCAGTGGGCTCAGCTATCCTTCAGAAATGTAACTGCATCATCTTGTCATCAATCTCAGAAGGGAACTGGTGGTAAACGTAGGCAGGAAAAATATCTGTTTTCCTGGATAGGTTATACGCCAGCATTAGAATAACTCACTTTTCCCAGCTGCAGCAGAACAGATCTGTCCAGCGGGCTCCAAAACCAACCCTGTGACTGTATCACAGCCTGGCTTGCCTCTACTTTTGAAGGAAGAAGATGAAGATATGGTTGTGTACTTTTCTCATGAAAAGAGCCTTAAGAACAGATCACAGGGTAAGATGAATTCTCATGATGCACGGTAGTCATAATAATGAGGCAGCAAAACAAAAAAAAATTAAAAGTACTGAAGTCAGGAAAAAGAAGTGTTCAGACCTTAAATAATTTCTTCTTCTTAGGCACTTGATTTACCTAACTACAGGCAAACAGCATGCAAGCACTCAGTGAGACTTTTTGTTTCACCAAGATGGCACTGGTATGCTGCATAATTTCTTAATGCCAAAAAACAAATCACCAATGCCAGATACCCCTCTGTGCCACAGGGGCAGCAATCCCTAAACAAGACTATAACACACAGATACCTCACAGCCCATTTCCTTCTGAAGCACTGCACCACTCCATTGTCATTTCCCTTGCACACTTACCTGCTCTGGCCAAGGAGGGGATGGTGCCCAGTGAGAGTGCCCTGTTGAGACGACCAGGAAGAGAGGAAGAAGAAGTTCTGCGTGGGGATCTGAAGAGCTGTTGGTTTGTCAGCTGCAGAATACTGGGTGGTGTTGGGACAAAGAGAGATGTAGCAGAGGAAGGGAAGCCAGTCCCAGTACCGCTGGGAAAGAGAGTAATCGAATCCCCAGAAAGGTACCTGCAAATGACACGCGTGACAGACATTTAGCAAGAAGTACATCCCAGCAACTCCCTCTCTCAGTTGTACCTCCTGCATGAAAACTTGCTTTGTTAGCAGGTTTGTACTTATTTTACAGTGCAGGAGTGCAAGATGCAAAATGCTTAAGAGTTTATGGGAATGTTCCTACACCTTTGAAACTGAGGAAGGAAGAACTGCTCAACCTTACTTAAATTATCGTGCACCAACCTGTCCCACAATACAGGGTGGAAAAAACAGTGGAACAGTTTAGGAACTCAGGTGTAAATAGGCACAGTACCTTGGTTCTCTCCCTGGAAAAGAAAATTACCCAGAGACCACCAGAATGCTTTACAAAGTCCAGATACACGTAGGACCAACAATAGAGTACATCTGGTGTTTGTTATGTGCACATGCAAACAACATGCTTAGAAACATCATGACTGCGGGAAGCAAGTAGTTACCTCCTAGTCTTTTTGTCTTTAGAAACCAGAAGCAACATCTTACCTCTGATGCCAGTATAGAGAAAAGTATTGCTATGGGTACCTACGTAAGATTTAGGCACAAGAGCTGTGTTTTAAAACTGATGTTCAAACCTCTTTAATATATTTGCCTTTATTATACTTCTGTGAGGTGATGAAGACTCACTACCCTCATTTTACAGATGGGAAAGAGAAGTAAAAAGAAGAAAAGTAACTTGTTGAGGGTCACATAAAAATCCTGTGATAGATCAGAGACACAAACCTGGGTTTCCCAATCCTAAATTGAGGCGTAAACCACTACGTTTTCCTTTCTCTGCATATCATAATTAGCCACAAATATGTACTAGCATAGCCATTCAGAGGGAACTGTGCTCCTGTAGCAACTGTCTTGCTTTTGGTGCGTAAAAACCACCAAAGTTTTCTATAGTTTCTACTATAGCGCCTGGAAAAAATTTAAATCGGCAATAATAATGGAAATTGTATTGCTAGGTCTGAGAGTTGTTTTCAGTGGTTCTTTGTAAGTGAAAGAGTGGAGCTGTAGAACAGCATGTCCAACCTGAGAATACAAGAAGAGAGGTAACAGGCAAAACATACTAAGGGTATCTGTACCAGTTAGCTTGATTTTTTAAGTACTAGAGACATAAGCTGACTGACATTCCACTGGTAAAATAACTGCATGAGAGGACTTGGTATTTTAAACAGTCTTCACTGCTAGTACTGCCACAGTATTTCACACTCAATTACTATATGCAAAAAAACTATGCAATTAATTTCTGATACCCTCATTTCATCACCAACTTTGCAGTGGTTTAAAACTTAAAAATCAACATAAGCTGAACAATCTGTCAAAAACTTACTCCTATTTTTACCTTCTTTCTATTCTTCCTTGCAATCACATAGCGATCTTAGTCTATGTGTACAGTTTAGTTGATTATATCACATTAGAAATGAGGAGTCAACTTTGGAGTCTCACTTGTGTCTTCATGCCACCATAATGAGCATTCTAAGAAGGTTGCAATGTGGAAAGTATAGGAATTTTGTATTATTTTTAACAATTGAATAAAATACATGAAAGGAAGTCTAGAATATGAACAAGATTTCTCAAGGATCTGCTGTAATATTTTTGTTTAGTTAGAAACAGGTATTACCCTTGTCGAATAAGTCATGATGAAGTACTAACAAAATATGAAGTATATATATTTTAGAATGGAGGTATCAGACTTAGCACCAAAAAAATCAAACTGCAAAATTTGGAGGTTTAATCTCACTTCTGGTGAAAACAGAGACAGATGAGAGCAGCAACATGGCTTTTCTTCTGTCAGAGGAAAGCCATTAGTACATCAGTGTGAAGGAATATACGTATTGCTGTCTTGCACTGTGAGGTGATGTACGCATGTGCCGTTCTCTCCTGGAGATTAAAGAGGTGATGCAGCAGCATCATTCAGCGCTAGCATGTTCAGAAGAAGCACTCGAGTTAAGATTGCAATTTAAAATATCTTATAAAACTACTTATCTGCTAGTACGAGGCAGACATCAACAATCCCGACCAGCTTAATCAGGCTGAACAACATCTGAGCCAACCAGCTTCCTGGTGCTTGCAAGCAGGACATGCCTTTAACAGCAGCAAGGAACTCCTCAGTCTTGCAGCACAAACTGCCCGACCTCTTCAGGTTCCAGAGGACCTGGGAAGGGTGTCACGCTTGGCAAACGTGCAGGGTCCTTTAGTGCACATACAGACACACATTTGCCCCGCCACGCATACAGATGTAAATAGCAGATGTGCATGTCCGTCTCGGCTTTGTAAGAGAAAACCAATGGGAAAGGAAATTAAAAGTGCAGCTCAGGATTATGATGTGAATCACATCAGAAAGAGTGATACCTGCCACTCACTGCGCCCTGTCTGTGAAGGGCCAAGTCGCAGCATCGCCTGTCAACAACACGGCTCTTTTTTTCTAACTTTGCACCTTCTGTATTTTTGGGCTAAATGATCCAACTTTACACAGCTCCTTGCTGCAGTGGAAAACAACTTATCTGGCTTACTGGCTTTTGGGAAGATTTTCACTTAATGGGCTGGGAGATATTAGTCATTTATCACTCATAACCACAATCTCTCTCCCGGGATTGCAACTTTTTTTGGATTGAACTTCTATGTGCCCTGCTGCTCAACAGCCCCACTTCTCAACCTCATCAAGAGCAGTCAGATCCTCTGGGCAGCTGATGAATTACTTCTCTTGCACCATCCAGAAAAGGAATTTTTCTGGTTAGCAAAGACGAGCCAAAGAATTTTAAGCATAGCATATTAATGCCTTAGGATTGCGTGCTGACCGAAGAACGGCTTAACTATTGATCTGCTCAGAACAAAGTAAATTCCTGCAGTGTGTGCAAAACCCTGTTCCCTTTCTATGCGCTCTACTCTTTAGTGTTTGTCACTGTCACGTTGAGAGGGCCAGATGCTGCTAAAAAGCAGGGGTGCTGTCATGGGAATGTGCTTCACGCTTGAGAATGGTCAGCTGAACTAAAGCTTCTTTCAAAAGCAGATAAAAAGGTGAGGAGATCAAGAGGATCATAAGGCAGGAAGCAGCCACATCACAGCCCTGGAATGGAGCAGTGCAGTTGTGTCTTTGCTCTTAGACTACCACGTTGCTCCAAGTCATTTGTGCATGTGATAATCGTGGGTATGGTAATAGTGAAAAAGTAACCAAAAAAGGAAGAAGGAGGGGAAAAAAAAAAAAAGAAAAAAAAAGGCTCTGGAGTCAGACAGTTTGTGGAAATAGTCAGGGCCCGGAAGCCGTTTATTTCAGAACTTGGTATTGTGAACATCAAAAATTGGATATCTTAATTAGTGTTTACAATGATCACAGCGTTACTAGACAGTTGGGCACAACTCTGCTACACAGATAGCTTAAAAATAAATAAATAAGGTTCCAGAGTATTACATGGCATGGGACCGTACACTGTCCTGAAGAAACACCTCCTGGCAGCAGAGCCTCCCCTCCTCTGTCCCAATACCTGCCTCTTATCCAAAGGCAACACTGTATGCGTGTGCCTTTTTAATTCACATTTTAACCAGAGATTCTGCATCACCCCGGGACAGAGAGAGACATGGGAGAGCGTGGGTCAGGTCAGACTACAGGACTGTAGATAGACCCACTCCTACTACCAGATAATCCAGTACATGAAGTAAGAAAGTAACGTGCAGTCGCAGGCAGGCAGCCTCCTGTATGTGCCCAGCTTCACCTGCCTGGAAGCAGCCAGGGAACCAGGTGTTGGTCAAGGCATAAAACACTTCCTCCAGACTTGAGGGCCCATCGTAATTTAGCTACGAGTTATCCATGTACAACTGCACCACTTTCTCCAGGCAGCATGGGTGCTGCTGCCCAGACTGCAGAAGCAGCTCACTGTGGCCTCGCTGCAGTCTGGGAGCTGACACGCAGTCACTTGCCTGGTCTGCTGCACCACATCAGCCAGTGCCATAACCTGTGCCATCTCCCGCCAAGCTCACAGAATCAGGAGTAAAGAGCAATACAGTGAATTAAAAAAACAGGCACAGGGAGAGGGGAGAATAATGCTAAAAAAGGGCACAGGTCTCGGATATATTAAGATTTTGATATGTGACTTAGAGAGCTAGAAACTTTAGCTGCCAAGACTAAGAATTCTTTTCTCCTCCACGTTGCCCTGCTTTGGATGAAAAAGGAGGGTTGAATTGTAGCTGAAAATGCTTCAGCTGCCAGGTCCTGCACTAATACCTTCTAGAGTACAGACAGACGTTTGCCATCAATTTTGCCTTCCTCCCTAGATGGTGGAACAAAGGTAGAGGGGTGCGTTTATACACACATCCCACATCTACAAAAATCCAGACTTGCTGGCACGACAAAAACGTTCAGAGGACCTCTTCCCTGCCTGTGTACTTGCTAGCTTTGGTTCCAAATGAGGCTTTACAGGGGAGGACCCCAGGTACACTTCAGGACTGAGTACTGCCCCTTTCATATGAAAGCATCTGCTAGGGCTTAGAGAGGTGTCAAGTGTACTTGCAGGTGACAGCACAACTGGAATGAACTGGCAGGTTATATGTGACAGTACACAATTGCAACAGCATCTCTTTAAAAACCAAAGTAAAGCCATGCATCACAGCTCCCTGCCTTCACAGGTGGAGTCAGTCTGGAGCACTCATCTGGCTATTAATTATATTAATTTTTATAGGAGTATAAAGAATTTGTCCACAATACATCAATACATACTTTCTATAGTATCTAAGCATGATTATTAGCTTCATGTAATCTCAGCGTACTTGAAAAATATTCATAAAGCCAAAAGAAAACACCACTACACCATTTTCAAATTTCCCTCTTGTCCTCACCCTTTGAAACACCCAAGCTGAGTTCACTAGGGCATGCAAAGCACAGATGTAGGAAAGAAGGAGCTAAGAGAAAGGAAAGAATGAGATATAAATATGGCATATTTAGCATTGCAAAGGGCCACAAATGCATCAGTTCGCATGCACTGATGGCAGGGAGGGCTTCA